ATAGTATGAATTAACTGCACAATGACCAAAATATTAAGTCAAAAATTATAACATTTCACAATGGAGGAGAAACTCTATAACAGAAACATATAATGCTGTTTTAAATCATCATCACAGACCTCTAAGTTTTAATATGCCTTACCCTCTTCAAGTGGTGGTGTTGCTGTATCATTTTTTAAATAGAACATCAAGTGAGTGGGATTCACAGGATTTTTCTTCTGCAGATCTTCCAGGTATGAGTTCAACCTCTTCAAGGAATCTTCATTTATTGACTGTAAATAAACCAAAAAAGTATAATTTGTATGAAAATCTTCCTGCCATTAAACAACTGGCCTGAGGATATCCCTTCCTTCAACTAACAAATAACTGTACCTGCAGCAACTTTTCTTTAAAATTTTAATACACCACACAACTAATAAGTGTTGAAAATTGACAAACTTAACAAAGTCTACACTTGTGCGACACCAAAATCTGTTGGTTAATTTACATAAACATGGAAGGCAGCTGTGAAGGGAATGACTTAGCCCAGTGAGAAGTTGAGGCATTAAAAGATTCCCACTTTAAATACAAAAGTGATTACAATGTAACTGCTTCTTAATAACATCCAAACATTATCCGGCAAACAGGTCATGAGAATGCTTAATAATCAGGTAGAAGTTGTTGTCTTCATCTAACACCTAATACTTGTAACCAATTTACCCCTTTTGGACAAGCCTGTGTTCAAAGAGATAAATTGTGCAACACACACCCTTTGGTATCTGGCTCTAAGAGTTTTGCGTTTCATTTCACATCAGTTTTCACTTTGAGCATACACCAGAGATTTTGTATTGCACTGTTTCATTTTTCTTCCCACCCACCCTCCCACCCTGGGTGATTTTGTGTGATGTCATAGGGTGGCAGAGAGGTTTATTATATATCATTAGCTTTTTTTTCTTTTTGTTTGTATTCCTAATAAACTTCTCTCTGTGCCAAAAAACAAACTGTGTTTTAATATTTGTGTCAGGGGGCATAGTTGGAGAATTTACATGGAAATGTCTAGCAGCTGGAGGGGAAAATTAATAATCAGATCTTGATAGTAAAAGGGTTAAAGCCTAATCTTAGAAGAGACATGGTTGTGTGTGATAATAGCTTTTCCTGTGCTTACAATATTATCATGCTGTGATAAAACCTACTGTATCTGTAACATCCTAAACTTGAGCCAACTAATCACTAGGTCATCACATGAAATCATGTATCTGACCAAGGGTGTGATAACAAAATAACCTCATCTTGTGATACTTGCCATGACAACACTACTTGCGTTCACCCTAACTTAACATAGGATTCCCTTTGAGCTTAAAACCTTTAGTCATCAACCATTTCAAATATTCTAAAAAATTTTGTTACAAGTTAACTTTAAGAGTCAAGTGTTGCTGAATAATTTCTCTTACCCTCTGCATTGGATACTGGCCAAAAAGATCAGGATGAACTGCAAAGTAAAATGGTTTTAGGGCTGCTTTGGTCTGTGCACTTGACAGATGCCTGGACAAAATGCACCGGGCAGAAATTCTTTCCAAACTAAAATAAAAACAAGATAAACTGTTTAAACGTTAAGTTTTTGCACCAAATTAATAAGTTCATTTTTGGTCTGTTTAATGTTCACCGAAGCTAATTGTCTCTCATATTTTTTTACTTTCATTTGGAGATGAAAAACAAGTTAATTTCAGGAGCAAGGTTCTCTTTCTGCCAAAGAGCTTATAAATCTGTTTTGTTTGAAGATTTTGAAAGAGCTTTCATTTGCAAGCAAAGTGGGTAGTGGAAGAATTTTGATAAAAAAAAAAAGGGGCTGGGCTGTAAAATATTAGCTAGAGAATTTCCCAATCTTTGGCAGCTAATGATGGTACCTTGTTTTGAATGTCTGATAAAAAATATGGACTTTGGATGATGTGCATTACATGTAAATTGATCCACAGTTGACAAAGTATTGTACTTCATCTTTACAATTCCTTAGTCTATCCCTTGACCCAGTTATTTTTAAATTATTACATAATCATGTTTGCAGCCTACATCATTGTCAAATGAATCCAAACTATTGTTAAAAAAATAAAAAAGAATGTTATTCACTGGCTGTATTTACTGCTGAGATTAACCATTGCCCATCCTTTGAAAAAAGTTATGGCTAGCAAAATTAAGCTATTAGCAAGGAAATCACATTTTAACAATGATTTAAAGCAACAGAGTCCTGGTGCCTCTTTAATTAATTTTTCTACAAACATCTACTGGAGCCAGAATTTCTCTCACCAGGCTACGTGGGTAAAGTGCAGATTTCACAATAGTGTGAACATCTGGTCTGACAAAGTCTACTCAATTTTCAAATTTATTTCAAAATTACAAACAAAGTCAGTTTGATTCTTCAGAGTTTAATGAAGGATTGTTTGTTGTAGACACCAAGGAAGGTGTTGGTAGAAATTCACAACTAATTACAATATTTTACCACAATAGTTCTCCAGAAAATTTTAAACTTCACCTTTGCTATTCAATTTATGAACAAAGCAAAATAAAAACAATTTGAAATCTTTATATTTTTCTTTCTATCAAAGATTGTACAACAGACATCGATTTGAATATTATTTCTTAACATTCATCAACTTGTAAAGTTGTCCGGGGTTTCACTAACTTTTCAAGTGGACAGAAGTTTCTACAAGTTAAAATGTGATTTACAACTTTGAAATTTCCAGAATGGTTGAAAATAATCACAGTGGCAAAATAAAAAGATATTGATCTTATTTCCTTAAACTATGACGTACGAAACACAATTTTCAGCCCCACGCATGAATTTTTCACAGGTTTTAATAAACTCGAAACTGAAAATAAAATACTTCCGTCAATCACCTTTTAAATTTCAAGATGTTTTGACTTCGATCACATCCCAGTGACATCAAACATCATCCTTAACAACATATACTCCTCATTATAGGCATATCAGGCTTGCGAAGAAACAATTCCTCGCAATTTTAACCATATTCGAGGACTCTCTTTCCATAGGCAGAAAAAACAAGTTAATTTTCGAGTGAATTTTTTCGTCTGAAAAATTCGTCATAAAATTAAATCCCTGATTGCCTGTTAGGTCATACCGAGCTGAATTTTTGCTGATTTGCAAGCGGTTTTTTAATAAAAGCGCTATGCGTTGAATTTAGAAAGAAAGGATATCTTGACGGAGTAAACGCATTTCAGTTACAGTGTACTACAAAAGTTGCATTAACATGTAAGTTTAAAAGCTTATTAGTTTTCGGGTGTAGGGTAAAATTCTATTACGGCGGGCTGGCCGACAGACCAGCAAAAAAAAACCACTTGATAATAGCTTTAAGCTTGTTTTACAGAGTTATAACTACGGAAAATATTCAGCAGCTTCAAAGAAAAAGCTGTTGGTTTCAAACTCATACGTAACCGTGCTTACTCAGCACCCAATCGATTGTGTAACTTATGAAAAAACATTTTTATCACAATTTTGAAACCCTAACATAAAAACATTCTATACAAACCTCAGTCGATTCACTCCACAAAGCATTTTGTAGTGCAAGTTAAAATTATTAGCTATGTGAGAGAGTAGAACCAGACCCTGTGACAGACCTTCACAACTACACTCGATCAGTGGCTTTACGAGCTTACGTACCGTTTATTGTTGTGAGTAGCACGACCCAATCACGTGTAAAAAAACCGGTTTGAATGAAAGCATCGTGCAGTCCGTCACGCCTGTCTCAGTTTGTGAAATAACATGAAATAAAGCAATCATAACTTCTGGCATTAAAAGCACTCCTTGAGTCTTTGATTCTTCCTTACATAGAATAACTTTCACCACAATATAAGGCAAGCTGCGCTATTTTGCTGGAAGCGTCAGCAGAACCTCTCGTGGTGTTTACTTTTGGCCTTCGGTTTGTCACGCAAGCTCATGGTCATGCAATATTGAAGTCGGTACAAAATATATCTCTCCTAAACGAGGCAGGTTTTAAGGATCAATCGGTAGTAACCCTTCTTTCTAAACGTGAAGTATTTCTTGATTTATCTCAGATATAGTTCCTTTTCAAGATTGCATATCAAATCTGGTTGCCTGGAGCTTCCCTTCTGCTTCCCCAAGGAAACCCAAAATTACCATAAGCTGATGAGAGAGGCTTTTAAGTTCTTCGACGACAGAAGTATTGTATTTCCAGTAATAAATTCAGTAAATACGCTCTATTACCCGTGATGTCTTCTGAACAACCAGGAATATTTATTTCATCAGTGTTTGGCCGATTAAAACTAGCGATCAGGTTTGTGCTGTTTTGTTTATGTTTTTTTGGATGGCAAGAGGTGACATGATCGTAAGCCGACTACTGAAAAAATACTTGAAACTCTAAATGGCGGAAAATAATGTATTCATGATAGCTAGGGGTGAACTGAAAACTGACGGCAAAATCCTGAAGAGAACTCGGGAAATTATGGAGAATGTTTGTTCTAATGTCAAATTTCTCAAGGATAATGGACAAGCAAGCGATCCCCATGAACAGGAAAGCGAAGTTTGAGAAAACCCGTGTCACAATGTGATAGACATCTATTGCAAGTTTAATTTCAACTTTTAATTGCTTGAGTTTGAGTTAAGGATAATTTAGTAGTTTTTTAATATGTTGTGCCGATGAATGATACTCTGAACATTTACATCAAGTTGCTTTGTCATTCATGTTAAATTCATGACAAACCAATGCCAAGTCGACGAACACATACTAAAATATTTAAAAGTTTGCTGAAGACGCGTTGAATGGACTAGTAGACTGACTGGTACGACAGGTTTTCTTCGTGAATGTAAACTTCATTCATAATTCACTTCAAAATCTGTTGGTCCCACTCAATGAAACCTTGGAAACTCAAACATTATAAAAAGAAAATTTCACCGTGCTGAATCTTGTTCTGCGATGCAACTTTGTCATATTTAACTTTGAGTAGCTCACTGAGAATACAACCGTGTAACCCAAACATATCTTGACTGGGATAATATTTACAAACTAAATATTTGAGAACAAGGAAAACACTAGGAAACGTTACTTGTTTAGCTGTTTTGCTTATCCCACGCACTGTCAGTGGTTAATTCTTTCCTGTGCATATCAATATGTTAACTTAACAGGAAAGAGAGAGAGCTAAAATTAGAAAAAAAAAATTAATTAGAAATTCTTGAATCAAAACCCAACGGGATAATACTGAGATAAAAGGAAGACCAACAGTCGCTGACAAAAACAGAGAAGACGGCCGCTAAGGGCGCGATCCGAACTGATCTATCTGGTTTGTGATTGGTTAGCGTTTTCTAAGCGCACGAATGGCAACGAGTGGTGCGCATTTTCCTTCTATCCATGGAGCTCATTTAGATCTAAATAACTAAATTAAAAACACTAACATGATCTTATGACAGAACACAAGTGATTTTGAGACCTGAGATTCCTTGGAGTATAAGTGAGGCGCAGTTCGCCCTTGCTGATTAAGTTAAAGCAGATCTTGATTAGATACTGCCAACGCCTATATATCCCGCTTTATACATGTATTGACTATTTGTTTTTGCTAATATACTATCCCTAATATAAAATGACCCATATTGTCGAGATGGCGCTTGTCTATGACCAGCGCAAACTGCTCTCATACAGAATACCTCGAGGGAGTGGTTATGCTCAACCAACAGTCGAGAGGGTGCTCTAGGAAAGTCACTAGTCTTGTAAACAAATTTAGTTATTGAGCAATTAAAATGCTAAAAGTAACATCCTCATTGCGAAATGCTCACTAAATTCACTTACTAATTTCACTTCGTATAATATTTTTCTTAATGAAATAAATACAACGTTATTGAAATCAACACCTCGTTTGAAAAAAGATCCTTAATTTCCTATAAGAAAACTCTAATCGTGTTTTTCCATACTACTAGTAAGTTAGAAATAATATACCCAGTTCTTGTGACGAACTTAAAAGGGAAAGACTAAACATAGAACTGAGAGTTGGAAATCACACCTAGGCAGTTAAATTATTAAGAGGTGATTCTAACCATTATCTTTTATCACTATATATTCCTCGCTTTTTCGATTTCGTCTTCACTAAGACATGGTAAGAATTTCATTAGTTCTTTGACACCTTCCTCCACTGATATCGTGGCGTGGTAACCCAGAGATCTGACCTTCTTGTAGGACACTTCATAATCTCTTTTGTCCTTGTCCTCTCCGTTGTTAGATTGCGTTATGAGGCAGCCAGGTACACACTCTTGGATGATGCAGGCCACATCAGACTTGGACAAGTTCATGTTTTCGTCTCCAACGTTGAAAGCCTGCCCTGCCATTTTCTTATAGTTTTCCACCGCGAACACAAATGCTCTGGCAGCATCTTTCACGTGAAGGAAAGTGCGGCGAAACCCACCCTGATACAGATCGAAGTGTCGGAGCCTTAGAGCCTTGTCAGTAAGATCGTTTACCAGAAGGTCGAGCCTGAGACGGGGGGACACACCGAACACAGTGGCCAAGCGAAGCGCAACCCCTCCGGCGTCCAACACCAGTTTCTCTCCTTCAGCTTTTGTTCGTCCGTACAAGGTTAAGGGGGAGATCAGTGTTTCTTCGTCACATACGCCATTCTGAACAGCTCCGTAGCATGACCCAGTGGAAGCATAGATCAAATGCTGATCGTCCCCTAGATTTTCTACGATGTTCCTTGTGCCCTCTACGTTCACCTACAATAACATGGTTACAATCGCTGTCAGGAGTATCATCGCAACTGGGGAAGTCTAATCTATAAAGGGGATAAGTTTCAAAAGAAACTGTGGTGTGCGTCGGTGAGAGAGTATAACAGGGTAATTTGGTATTAACAACTGACTGAATAACGTAAATTAGCCACCGTAAAGATTTTGAAAGCTGACGTTTCGAGTGTTAGCCTTTCGTCGGAGCGAATGGCTAACGAAGCTCTGGCGGAAGGGCTAACACTCGAAACGTGCGCTTTACGTTATCTACAGAGTTGATACTACCAAACTACTAAGTCTAATCCAGTCCAGAGAAGTCTTGCTTAAACTTGTCTAGGCAGTTTAATCTAGCCTAGCCTAATCTCGTTCTGACTAGTCTAATCTAATTTTTGCCTGTTAGTCAGGCCTAGTCCAGTCTAACCCGGTCTAATCTCATCAAAACTAGTCTAGTCTAGTCGCCCAAGCCTCGAGCCAAGCCTAGTCTAGTCATGTCTGCTTTTAGTTTTGCACTTGATTAATGGGGGAAATGGTGCCAGTTTTCTTTTTTAAATCAACCAATAAATTAAGTGAGGAGAAGCCCGAGAAACTCCAAATTAAATTTGAATCTCATGGAAAAATTCTCGTTCTAGATCACTTACCTGGATGGCCTCATCGTGAAATTTTTCACAGGCAGGGTATCCAACAATGGCGGCGAGATGGATTATAACGTCACAGTCCTCCATGTGTTTCGCCAAGAGGTTCCTGTCCAGAATGTCTCCCCTGACAATCTCCAAATGTGGGTTCGCTGCATGAGGCAAAAGGGGGAGAGCTCCCCACATGAACTTGTCGAAGACAACCACGTGATGACCACGTTGGAGCAGCATGGGCACCATTGTTGACCCCAAGTAGCCTGCACCACCTGTTACCAACACTCGCCGCTTACGCAATTTGCAACATCCATTAGTTTCCATATTCTTACCGTATACTGGCAACGAAATCTGAAAACAAGGGAAAAAAATTGTCCAAGCGTAAGTCAAACAACACATGGACGTATTTGAAGGTGCTAATATCTATTTTTCGGGCAAAAAAATAGCTTTTGAGGCAGTAGACAGCACTCTAAAGCATCAGCACTCAATTTCATCTTTTACAACTGTAATGAAATGTGAGGCAAACAGGAAGTGAGAATTGTACAAAACATCAGCTTGGGAATACTGTTTGAAATAACAACAAATTCTCAGGATTAGCTTAGTTACAATACCAACTTACGCCGCCGACTGATACAAGAAGTTCTGAAGAGCTTTTGAAGCTTACCAATTGGTCGATTAATCCCTTATCCGGACACACTTCCTCCTGCTAATCGCCTTCAGCGTCAATAATAACGTGCTGACCACTGAAAATCTTGTTGCGCGCTGATTTTTTAACGCTCCCGACTGGAGAAATTTTGTGCGCAATTTATATTAGATGGTACTGTCGGGAATTTGTGTTCGTGCATGACAATTGACTCGGGTGTGAAGCACGCCAACCGTTTGTACAGCCAAACGCCTTCAATTCAATAAAAATCAATTGCAATGAGTATGAAACGAACGTTCTTAGTGCCTGATAAGACAAAAAACGCCCTAGTTCAAACGCAACAGTTAATTTTTTCAAAAGAGCCTTACTTCACTGTTACCACATTTCGAAGATTAAAAGAAATAAAAGATAACTTGCTCCAAAAGGATCGTGTAGCTTGGTAACATACAAAAACACAAACGATGTCGGTTATGTTTGTATCGCAAATTGACACCTCTTTTACTTCAAAGAAGCGACTGTAAAAGACACCAATTTCTGAATGGTCGTTAAATAATGTGATTGAAACGAGATGCAAGATGCTCAGTCAACTGAATTTAAAAAGCGTCAGTATGGCTATTTTCCTGTCTTATTTTAACTTACTTTCCTTGTTTCTG